TATCCCTCGTCTCCTCCCCCCCCCTCTCCTCTCGCTCTCCGCTGTGTGGCAATCGTCGGTCAATGTGCACTTCGAGAAATAATCGCCCCCATCCCCCGCTTCCGCGCTCTTCTTCACCCAGACGTTCCGCGTGCGGCCCCGCTTATCTGCCTCTCGTGATGTTCTCGCGAGTATTTCCGTGGATTGTAATTCACTCCGGGAGATCGAGTTCGCTGGATCTGCCATTTTCCAGTTATTAAGTAACGTGTAGCTGCAGATTTTCGTATATATATATGTGTGTGTATGAAAATCCGCAGTTACATATATATATGCGCACACACGCGCGCGCGCGGCAATGAGGTTGGCATGGTGAAAATATCGCGGCAGTTATCTCCGGGGGGGCTATCGATTGTTAATATTAATCCGAGTGTGCTTTTATTTTCGCTGAAAAATTACGACATCGCAGATGTGCGCGCGCCACACGTGTTTATTTTCGCGGATATTTATTTTCATGTGTCAGACTAAACCTCGTGAGCGGAACAACACTGCTGACAAGCCGCCTGCGGAGATTAGCGAGAGAGACGAGAGAGAGAGATTAGTCGAGTAACTTTTCGCTACGTTGTTTAGTATGTGTGCGTGTATCTTGGTGCGTGAGATAAGAATGAAATAATAACAAGAGAGACGGGGGAAAAAAATTACGTAAGAACCGTGGAGGGACGAGCTTCCAGCGCGGTAAGATTATATTATGTTTGCGCTTTTTGTGGAACGCAAAAATCCCCATCGGTTATTAACCGGTTATGCGCGCTTATCGCGCTGACCTCTTCCGATAAGCTTCCCGCCGGTCATTTTTAACTGGCTCATATCACAATGATGTGGCGCGTTTCGAACTAAAATGACGTATCCCTCGGCCAACCATCAGCCTCGTCGATGTCGAAATCATTCGACGACGCGCGAACCATGAAACGGGGGCTCCCGCGGGTGACTCGATGATTAACGGCTCATATTTGTTTCTACCGACTTCAATACCTGTCGGAAGATTTTATTACGGGCTCGATGTTAATGTTAAAGCTGATGATGGCGCGATGTTAATTCGCGTGAAACGCAAATAAATGGTGATTTTCCGCGATAATGATCGCCGAAACTGACGGAGATTTATCGAGGAGTTGCTGCACGGAGGAAAATATTTCTTTAAATTTTAATTCAGCATACGTGTTGGTTTAATATAAATAATACAATTTAATGTCGATTATCATCTTGTTTGAGTGAAAATGTTATTTCATTAGAGTGAACCATGTTGTTCGATAGAGAAAAACATTATTATTTAGGGAAAATAATATTTCATTTTTTTTATTAAAAAAAATTATTGTTTCAACATATATTAAATATTGTTTCACTGAAACAAAGAAATCCTCTAATATTTTTCTAACATAATGTTCCTTTCGAATAATGTATTGTTTACGACAAATATTGTAATGTTTGGATGAAGATACTGAAGAAATGCTACTTGAAAAAATATTTATTGTTTGAGAAACCGAATGCTGCTAGTTAAATGAAACATTCGTTTTTTTGCTCCATTCCAAAAGACAAATTTGTTCAATCAAAAAGATTTGATTAAATCCAAAGAAATCTTTTTCTCTGTGCGCAACGATCGGAGGCACTTCGTTGCGAATTGGGGACGTCCGACGAATAATATGAAAAATAACCGACTCGCAAAGAATGCGCAAGTGAGAGCTATAATAAGCAGCCTGCAAGGCGATGCGATTAAATCGGTCTCATCGTCGCATCGCGCTCGCGAGTTTCTATTAAATTTTAATGGCGTCATTACGTTGGCGTGTTTGTGTCTCGCCGGTGTTTTTATCGGGCTCCGTTGATGTTTAATGAAAGCATCGGAGCGTCGTCGTGTCGAATTAATAAGTTCGAACATCTCGCTCGCGTATGCACGCCGATCGATGTTCGATTTTACTTCGCCTAATGTAGTGGAAAGAAATGTGCCCTCCGGCTCTGTATTGACGATTGCGGTTGTTTTCGTTTGCCGTCTCGCGCAAAATTTCGTGAAAATTTTCCCCAAGCCCCGATGATAAAACTCGTGTCACATTACACTGGAAGAAAACAGCGCCGCCGTGCAAATAATATTTATTTGACCTAACTGAAATAGTTAACTCCAATATTCCTTGGCAAATATTTGCTAGAAGTGGAAATATAATTGATTGTATATACTATATGACATCTCCTTTGTGTAAGTACATATTTACTTGTGCGTGGTGGAACAATTCTGACAAGTATTGAACTCATAATTTTAAGAATTTCAAAGTTTATTTTTAAAAAGTATTTATTGAACAGAAAAATCAAAATTTGAAACCACAATAAAAAATGTTGTGTTTAAAACGGTCTACTGAAATTTAACATGGGAAATGTGTTAAAAAGCACATAAATATACATTAAGAACATAAAAATATATGTTGAATTAACATATTCACCTTGTCAAAATATATGTTGACATTGCACTTATCAACATTATATTAGTGTACTTCTTAACACGTTCCCCATTTTGAAATAACATTTCAGTGGACCGTTTTTAACAAAAGCTTCTTGCTGTGTAGATTTCTTCAACGGAAAAGAAATATTGTATAACTCTAGTAAATATTCTTTTAAATTTAGAACCATTTTGCACTCACATTTGGTAATTTATTTACAAATTAGGGCATTACTGCATTTAAATAAATACTTATTATAAGTTATTAAAATGTACTTAAACTGATAAAAATATTACTTAATTTAAGGGGCTGAAAAATAGAGGTAGTTACATTTACCTGACTATAACCTTTTTTTCTGCGTATGCATTGCTGATTGGATTCGAAGTACGAATTTAAAATCGTTGATCAGCCAATGGATTTTGGGCCACCTTAAACAAATTGGCTGGTCAGCGAGTCGTGATCTAAATCCAATCCACGTCCGCAATGCGTAGTGTGACACGAGCTTTACAGGAGATGCTTGCGATTATTTAAAATATGAAAATATGTAGACTAATTGGCGACTAAAGCGGGAGTATAATTGAATGCTTGGGTGCTTATCAAAGTCAATCTTTAAATATTCACACGCGACATCCGCTAATTCTATTATTGTAAAATAACCAGTCTTTCGTTCCGTTAAATGGATCGTGTTGAAATATACCCGCAGTAAAACTGCTGACGTTGATAATTAAATATTCATTCACATCGAGGAAATAAACAGATATCAAATTTAATTAATTCAACTAATGGATTTGCACCATTTATGCGAGGCAAGGTGTGCGCACGCAGAAGTATAATTCCCGGCGTAATTTACATCGATTGAACATGAAATTGCGCATGAAAATGCCTTTGAATGATTAATCCGCTAATCCGTCGATCCGATAAATACAGAGTTGGTTTGCGGCGTTTCAGGCGCCACGCGGAATAAAACGCAATGCGTCATTGTCGTAAAAACAAGCGAAATTAAATTATTCGCACGTGGCGATTATTGAGGCGCGACCTGCGAAAACGCTCGGCTCGCACTTCTTTCACGTAAGGCGAGTCGTCAAATTTGTCAACATGCTCCTGAAATGAATCAGAGTCGTCAAATGTAATGAAAACACCTATATATTGTTTAATTTCACAGAAATATAAATTAATTGAGTTCTACTAAAAGCTATAAATTCTTGAATTACATAAATATTAGGTGTGCAAATTAACTTGGTGCTTTTACATTTAACGTCTTGTAACTCTGGTTTAAATTAAAATTTTTTTCCCGTCCTATATATGTGATGATTTGAAAGTGGTCAACCTTAAGCTTTAAGAAGCGCTATAATAGTTGACGGCATTCATCAGCTGCCCGATAGTTGGAGTAAAAATCAACTATCGATTATTTTGAACGTTAAGTTCAATTATGCTTAGACAATAATGGACAAATATTTGAACATTTACTTAAATGATGAAAGAACATCTTCACATCGTGAGAGACAAGGGGACTCACAATTGCGTTTCTATTTAGAAAAAAATCAAGTTGACAAATGACTTCTGGGGTCAACTTGACCCCATAACATGAAGCATAACTGAATGTCAGACTGCTCTGATATTTTTATTTATTAGATTTATTCATTTCTGGAGTGAAAATTTGACTGACTTTAGTGATCCTTTGGGGTAACGAACATACGAAGATAAGTTACGTAGAAGAGATAAGAACATTACTATGAATAAATATTCACCGCAAAATTCTACGAAAAAAGGAGAAATCTCGTCGTCGGACGATTGACAGATGTCACTCGAAAACAGAATCATTTTCCCTGGATTTTAATCAATTCAATTTGAGATTTTCAGTGACCCTTTGGGATCAATTCGACCCCACGTGTTGCTACATGTTTTTAACGTAAAATTTCTTCCTCTATCTTCGACTTCCGGTATAAAAAATAGGCCATTCCATTAAAAAAAAATAAAAGTTTACCTTCAAATGACTCTGAAAAAGGACATCCATGACAAAAGAATATCTCTCGAAATGCTTAAATATAAATAAAAAAATTAAAGATGAATACAATTTGCGATATAAAATTTGTTGACCAGTGATATCGGTACTTTTGCCTTTTGTACGCTGCATACAAATCCTCAAATTCTACCTACATATGAGAATTCGTCACACACTCGCGACTCGAAATCAATCGAAAGCTACATCCTGGAGCAGTGGCAAGTTTGGTGTCACTTCCGGCTGGAGGGGGGGCCGTACGAGAGACACGACGGTGAGCGCGTTCGACGGTGAGACATAAAGAGAGAGCGCGATTGATCTTTGGCTCCCGTGCAAAAAAAGAAAGAAACGAGAACCTGCGAAACGGCCAGGTCAAACGGGGCGCGGATCGGACACGCAGCAACGGTCTATCTCTCGCGCGAGCGGCGCGCGAAATCGGTGCGGTGGTTGCGGAGGCAGAAAGGCGGGGGAGGGGGGAGACCTCGGGCGGCGGCGCGTGTTGCCTCACGTGTTGGACGTAATGCATCGCGTTTCCGACACGTGATGCCTCGTCGGCTCGGCGCGGCGTCTCCCTCCCGACTGAAGAAATGCGAGCGTCGCCGCTCGTCGCTCGTAGTCGTCGCCGTGCCACTCGCGAGCACGCACAGCAGCACGCCAGCAGGGAGCGAGCGAGAAAGAAAGAGAGAGAGAGAGAAAGAGAGATAGTGAGCGCGGTTCGATAACGGCGAGAGAAACATCGGACTCGTCGAGCGTCCAAGTGGAAATCGACTTGCCAGTCGAGTCGGGTCTTTCGCTACGATCGCGTCGTTTTGCGACGCTTTCCGACGAGAGAATCCGGAGAATCGGAATAATTGCCGACAGCAATTATACTCTTATCGATAATTGAACAACGGTTGAGGAATAATTCTTCAATTGCGCTTGTGTTTCATTGGCCCTCGCGGAGCGATTTCAGTGAAATTTCGATCTCGATTTCGTGAGATCTTACGATAGTTTCGAAAAGTGGCGTCGAGGCTCCTCGTCTTGTCAAGCTCTTGGAACCATTATTGAGAGAGAGAGAGAGAGAGATTTTGCAAGTTCGGACTGAAACTGCATGTGCGTACGCGAGCTATCGTTGCCGCGAATTTCAGGAACGGGCGATCTCGATTGCTCGACGTGGTGCGTGAGTTGCGGGAAGATTGCTCCGGAAGTGAATTCTTCAGCGAAGATATCGACACGCCGATAGAGCTGCGAGTGGCACGTTTGTTTTTGAACGCAGTAACCGCGCTTGTGACACCTGCGGTACCTGCGCACGAGGACTCTTCCCGGCAGAGAGAGAGATCAATGTGAGTGGCTCAGTGAGGGAAGACGAACAGCAGGAAAGAGAGAGAGAGAGAGAGAGAGAGAAAGAAAGCGATTTTATGATCCTCGAGCGAGTCGCGATATCCGTCGGTCGCTCCGGAAACTTCGCGGACGAGGCGAAAGCTTCGTTCGATCGATCAGTCGATTCTTTCTTTTCCTTCTCGCCGTGCTTGTCGCTACTCAGGAGACAGGATGGTCACGCACAGTATGGACAATATTTTGAACATGCAGTACTATCCGACGAACAACCACGTCGATGCGTCGTCGGCGCGCTCGCCGCCGCCGCGGAAGAGGCGTTGTTTGAACAAAGAGGTGAATATACTTCCGTCACGTCGAGAGCAAAATTCGACACTTCTCGTTGTTTCCGCGGGAAATCGAGCGCATCGGGTCCTCGCGAGAGAGGATCCTGTCGGATCTCGCGTCGTTCTGGAATGCCGAAGAACAGGATGCGTCCCCCGCGTTTTCCTCGCTCACTCCGGAATTCTTCTTCGCTCGGCCCTCCCCTTGACTTCTTTCAAAATTCGACTCCTCCTCGACTCCCCTTCCCCTTAATTTCGTCGATTCAAAATCGTTGGAATAGTTTGAGACACGAGAAACTTGAAGATCGGGGGTTAAAGATCGATAAATCAATTAGAGTCAGAAATCAGAGATGAAAAGTTTGGAAATTAGAGAGCGGAAGTTAAGGGTGAAAATTACGGAGAGACTGAAGATGAGGAATGCCGAAGGTTCTCGGAAATTCAGTTCCGACGTCGCGGGTAGACACGGTGCTGAGGGCTTGCTCGTTATTTGATTTCTGACAGGCTGCACTTTTACGCCCAATCAGCCCTGTGTGACTTGAATAACAATATCGTGGGAAAGAAAAAGAGAGGAAGGTGGTGGAAGTTCCTACAGTCGGGGAAAATCCTCGGCGAGTCGGTCGTGACGTCTCGGGTCTCGTTTCTCACGGGATTTAAAGCCGAGCAGAAGCCGACGACCGCTGTGTTGTCTTCGTCTTCGGTCCCTTCCGTCGCTTCCCGCGCATTCCGCCGTTCTCGTTTCCGCGCGCGTCTACGTAGATGGGTGCGTACGTGCGCTTGCGTCCGCTTGCGTAATTCCGCATGAATGAGCTTCACGGGAAGCTCGTCGCGTTGGCCGCGTGCCAGGAACCACGAGCGCGTCACGTTTCCGCCGTTTGAATGCTACGCGCTCGCGTAAATTAACGCTCGTCGAGGCGTCACTCGCGTGACGTCGTCCGCTTTTGTCCGTTTCGCTCTTCCAAACGCCGTACGACGAGGCGGTTCGGACCGGCGGCCATTATCCTCGGAAAAGTTTCACGGATCGTCGATCGCGCCGTTTCTTTCAAGAGTGACATGTCTAAGTGACGCTTCGAGCAAGCGAGCCTCCGGTTGCGTAAGTCGTCGTCCCACTTGACTCGCTGATAATTATTCGGAGGAAAAGAACCCGCCCTCGAAAGAAACGCGTGCGTGACAATCAGGGGCCCGGATCGAATGAAAATATCGGTTCCGGTTCCGGTTTCGGTTTTCTGGACAATGAAAGTACCGGCGAACCGTTTAAATTACGGTTCATTTCGGTTCCGGCTCTTTGAACTTGTTTCCTTACTGACATTTTTATTGGCTTCAATTTTATATATATAATATGTACGATAATATATTGTAGAAAATAATGTCACTTCCTCGATGTAGATTACATTTCTTCGCTATTTCCATTTTCTTTTTTGGATATATAATATTATCCTTGTTATTTGTAACCTTTTCCTAACGGAACATGTAAATTATATAAATTCTGAGAATATTTGGAGAATATTCTCGATATTCTCCGAGCTTTCTCAGAAAATTCACGTTCCGTTAGAGTAATCTGTACAATTCAGGATGATTGTCTTTTTATTTATCCCAAAATTGTAACATATTACATCTTCTATTAATCCTCTTCCGTTCAGTATCATATGTTTCAAGTTTATTTTCTATTTGTCGCGATAACTAATCAATGTCCTGCTTTTCCGAGAGAAATAGAATTTTATTGTGAAAGGGGAAAAACGAATATTTAAAATTACAAAATAAAAACCGGAATAATGAGCCGAAAAAAATGTAATGGTTCCGATTTCGCTTCCGGTTTTGTAGGCTTTATAAAATTTCGGTAAGGTTTACGGTTCCGGTCCGACAGAAATACCGGTTTCCATTTTCGGTTCCGGGTCTCCGATGACAATATTTGCGTCGTGAGAGCATATGAAAAGAAGCACGGGATGAATTTTTCCGCGCTTTTGCTCGTTGAGTCGAAATTTCGACGCTGTCGGGGACGCCCGCGAGAGTACTTCGCGCTCACACGGATGGCCTGCAGACTAATAAAAACGTGCACCGAAAAAGAAAATACTATCGTTCAAGTGACATCTGCTTGATTGGCCACTCCGGTACTCCTTCACAAATATTTACTAGAAGTAAAAATGTAACTGATAATGTACGATATAATATTTCTACTCGTATTTATTTGTGTGCGTTGAAACAATTGCGACAAGTTTAAAATTCTCCCTTTCTTTCACAATATTAAGACTATTAGAATTTACTTTTGGAAAATATTTATCAGAATTATGGGAATTTAAGCCACTGGGTTTCTTCTTAATGGGAAAAGGAATATTATGTATAATTCTAGTAAATATTTTCTTAAATTTTTGCATTATTTTACATTTACATCCAGTAATTCATTTGAATTTAAAGATATTACCCGAGCATTTACTAAAAGCTACTAAAGTATACTTGAATTAATAGAAATACTTGGTTTGGGAAACGTCGGTAGACAAGTAGTTGCGTTTACCTGATTCTAGAACTCTCCGTGCACTTCGGCAACACCGACGCTCGTTAACTTCCCTCTCGAACCATTAACTTAACAGATTTCACTTTAACGTTACACTTCGAACTACCTGTTTTCATTTCTGAAACAGCGAAAACCGAAGTTTGAGACATCTCGTCGGGATCAAGATAAAAGTAAATCATATCGTTAGACCTTTCAGGTCTGAACTGATTTCGCCGTCTCGGCTCTCACTGCGTGTTGTGAAGAATTAGAGGTTCAGCAAAGAGCCCGAATCGCTTGACTCGAGTGTGCGTTTCTTCCTCGCGATCTCGACCTTCGCGAGAAGAGAAGCGACGATTTTCGCCACGCAGAGGCGCCATTTGCGCGACACGCTCGTGTCGTGTTGTGATCCGTTCAAGAGAGGCGCGCGATAAAGGTGTCGAAAAGAACTTTCTCGTTCATTGTTGATCGCGCGACAGGCAGGTTCGAACACGGTAAGGCGGGGGCGCGCGCCGAGATTTACTCGTTACATCATGCCCGTCCGTGCTGGATCGCTCGAGATTATCTTTCCGCGTATTCCGCGCGCGATAGTCAAACATTTCAACGTGAAATTCAACGATTACCTAACTATACACGACGATACGTGCCTGGGGACTGTGACACACGGCACGTACTGATAATTTCGGCGCTCGCGAGGCGCAACGTGACCTTTAAGCGCGATAACGCGCGGCGGGTTAATTTGCACGCGATCGCGCGCGTAATTGCCATTTCTCTCTCCGTTCGGAACTTGATTGTCATCGAGATGACACATGCGCCGCCATAGGAATTATGATGATGACGATGATGATGATAATAATTCAACATTTATCAGTGGGGGAAAAATATCTTCGGTAATGCAAAGTACAAAATTGCAATAGTAGAGTAAGTGATTTTTGAAATAACGAAAGAAAGAAAACGTTATTCCTGACTATTACAATCAGGCTGCGAAGCTCCGTCGCGAAAATTCTCGCCATCTCTCCTTCTCACTCTTTCGTTCAAGAGAGAGAGAGAGAGAGAGAGAGAGAGAGAGAGAAACGATATTTTTAATGTCGTCCAATCAATCGGAGAGATTAGGATGCAAATAAAAAATGTACGGTGATCTGAGCGTGTTAAATGTCTGACTATTATCTTGACTGTTACTACTGCGGGGACCGAACGAAAGATCAAGTAGATAAAGCAGGCACGTCATGTGGGAATCTTTACTTACGAAAGTTACCGCCAATCACCGGCTGTCCCGCCGCTTCTGGTATTTCATCCACGATACGCGTGGTCATATTGTGTTTTTTTATTTTTTATTTTATTGCGAATGTTCGATACAGAACGCTCTTTGATCGTTACGACGACATTACACGGACGAAACGAGATATTCACAATATTTTCTTTCTCTTGTACCGCGTCAAAGAGAAGAGTAACAACTTGGTAAATTTATATTTTTCGTTGCGTCATGTATGTTGTTTATTCGTTAATATTAGCGGTAGGTCGTCGTGTGAAACGAAGACGAGGTATGTGTGAAACAAAGACGCAATTAAGAAGGCAGTTGATTAACGTTCCTCGTTAAGGAATCGGGCTCACCGTGCTCGTTTCTGTTACAGCAAGATCCGATGTCACACAGGATCATCGAGAAGCGCAGGAGAGATCGCATGAACAACTGCTTGGCTGATCTCAGCAGGCTCATACCAGCGGAATATCTGAAGAAGGGCCGAGGCAGGGTCGAGAAAACTGAGATCATCGAGATGGCTATCCGCCACATGAAGCATCTTCAGGGCCTCCGACAAGGTGAGCTCGCGTTTTCAGTGGCTCCACCGTCATTTTTGAAAAGTCAATATTTTAGGGAGTATCGTGCGAATTGGAAGTAGAAGCCAGCCAGCCGAGGCCACTTTCTGACAGTCCACGGCTTTTTAACCATAATTTTGCTACTCACGGATTAAATTGAGATTTAAGAATAAATCTTATCTAGAATCGATAAGATATTATTATTCTTATTTATCTAGATAAATTTCAGATTTGTAGTTTTGTTCATTGCCAAGCTGAAAATTGGAATTTCGCGTGGTGGCCAAATTTTTTTAATTTTTTTATTTAGTTTTTACTGTGCTCAAAATAAGTTAATATATTATTTATATGCTTTTATTATTATGTATATAGGATTTATGTACTCTAAATATCCATTACGCGATAACGCGTGATCGGCCGTTTGGTGAGAACTCGCACACGTAAACATAGAATTTTTGCTTAAAGCCAGCGAAATCTTTGATTTCTTCTCGTGTAAAGAATCAATGAATTATTTTCTCTTGTAACCTTAAATTACATTTCTTTTAAAAATAATGAGATTGCGACAAATTTTTCAAATTTATCTTTAGTACACTCAGAGAAATGACTTAGTAATAATAGCTAAGGCTCATACACTAACACCTTTAACACGTTGACTGCCACGGAACTTTTCACGATTCTGGTGTAAGAAGCCAATTTGATATAATCAAGTAATGAAGCGACGAGATAATTCGTAGTTGGCGTCCTGGCTAAGTAAACAACCTACGAGATATCTCGTAGTTGGCAGTCAACGTGTAAGCTTCCGTTAAAAAAAAGCAATATATTTCGGAATATAGCAATATTGTCAGGAATATGAATATGACTTTAGTACGATTTAACTAACATTTTTTTTCCGTGCGTCTTAATTCAAACGACTAATCAGTTTAGCTACGGCACCAACGATGTTAGCCATCCTTATTTCAAAAATACATCTCAACTAGGCGATCCATAGCTAGATTTTACCTCCTACAGCTTATTCCATGGGCGTAGCCAGGGTGGGACAGAGGGTGCTTGCTTTCCTTAAATTTCGACGGGAAGAAACCAATTATGAAAACCAGAAAAGTAAAGAAATGTAATTGATACATTACGATCTACATTTCATAAAAGAACTACAGCACACATGTTCTGTAATTAAAAAATAATGATAAAGCGTCAGCAAAGATTTTGTGAAAACGAATGAATGAAAATTTCTCAATTTCACCGGCAGTGTGTCAATGTTCACATTACCTGCTGGCTTTAACATAAGTATTCTAATAAATCTTTTTTACGTGGAGATAAATTTCCTCCACCTCCGATTGAAATCCTGGCTACGTCCAATTCTCCGAGTATAAAAGTATATCACAAAAATTACACGAACCTAATGTGTCAAACTAAGGATTAATATTCGCAAAATATTCACGTGTATCGAAGGAAGCGCGCAAATTCCTTCGTTTTCTCGAGTGACGCGCACTTTTACATGACGTACGTACGTACCTGTCAGCACGGCAATTTGTTTTTCTTTATTCAGACACCAAGCACTCGCCGGTGACACCGGTGCATGCGCATCCCGAGGACAGCGTGGACAGCATATCGCACTCGACCGCGGCGTCCTCGGCCGCGGAGCACTACCGGCTAGGCTTTCAGGAGTGTCTGAGCGAGACCATGCATTTTCTCGTGGAGGTCGAGGGTTTCTTCGCGAGGGACTCCCTCTGCGTACAGCTCATCAATCATTTGCAGCAACACTGTGACAAGATCTTGGCCACAAGTACGTACTGTTATTGTTGCATTGAAAAAGATGTGGAGAAAATCGAAGAAAAAATCAAGACAATCATTACGTGAATTTTGTCGTGTAAATCACAATCAAGTCGAAGAAAAATCGGTTCGCTCAGACGTGGAAATTTGAACTGCGAACTTTTGTCAACAGTTGAAAGAGAACAAGACTGAAACCGTAGTTGCATTTGTCGTTTACTTTACCAAATTACCTTTGGTTGAAAGGTGAAGCGAATCGAGCGATGAATACAATCAATAATGCGTCGAGTCAGCTTTATGTCCGCCTTATTGAACTAAATTTTAAGCTTGCTTTGCACGAGAAACAAGAGATTGTATATGTAGAAACGTGAAAAAATTTGGCCGAAAGAATCAAGGCATATTGAAAAAGAAATTAAGCAGAAGGAAGTGAGTCTCAGAATTACGCAAATTTGTTGCATACAATTCAATCGAATCGACTTCAAGTCGATCGGATCAACAGTTTGACATGGAAATTTGAGCTACAAAATTTAGTCAACGGTAAGAAATTGAGGAAGCTGAAATGAAGTTGTGTATGATATGCATTATTTTTTCAACTACCAAAAGATTTAATCGAACTAAATTGCATAATACGACTAATTCTACTTCTGGTAAAAGATTAAGTAAATAAATTGGCCTACCAATAGTATATTGATAAATTTTGAAATAATTTATCGAATTTAATTTTGCGCTTGTTTTACACGAATAAGAGATGAAAAAAACACGACAATTTTGTTAAGAATACCAAGAGACAGCCAAGTTCATTATACACGGTTCTGAAATTAAATTCGTATTATCCGATTTGAGTTTCTTCGGCTGATTTTTCTTTCATAGTGTATTCTCAAGTCGAAATTTCGATTCTATACTTTTAATTCTACAACACAGTAAGAGCTAAGGCAGCATATATGGATTCAATTCTAATTATATAATTTATTTATACTTTGACCGTGATGAAATTTCTCAAATTTCCATTTCCACTGTTTTTAGTTTCAAAGTATAGATTGTTTCTAGTTGTGTGAACTCACTAATCGATATATTGAGAGAATATAGCTTTAAGATAACATTGAAGTTAAATTTGTAGAATTGAAGGTCGAAGAAAGAAGTGTTAACAAGTGTAATATGTAAAATAATGCAAAGTAAATAAAGTAAGATTT